TATGGTTATATTGTTTTTTGACCACCCAATATTCCACCCCACAGAGCAAAGCTGGTCTCACAGTTGTCCTATAAAACTTTCCCTTCAGCTTCATTGGTATGCAGCAACCACATAAAATTCCGTTCGCACATCTCCACTTCGCCACCCAACTCTAATTCTATATGAGACATCTTCCTCAATCTCTCCATTTTTCCAACTGTAATATTTAGGGGAAGGGGCCGGGGCCGTGGTGGTAGCACCCCCACAACCTAGTCACCATGTTGTGGTTTCCATTCCCATTGACACCACCCCACTAACACCTTCAAATAACTAACTCCTAAACTATTTGAAAAAATAAGTAGGAGCTTGTCTTCCCCACTTAATTACCCACAAAAATAGATATCGAAAGTGCACTCTTTTGTGGTATTTTCTAGCCATCAATCTTAACTACTTCCTCATCTCTACTCCTATTATTATTAAACTTGCATTCCATGTACTCTATCTTAGTCTGGCTAATTTAAAAAGTACATACCAGTACAACAATACATATATAAGGAGTATAAATCAGTACATACCAGTCACACTTCTGTTTACAGGCTATACTGATCTTCACAATATTGTAATTCACATAAAATCATTTCCTAATTGAAACAAATGGACTACATCGCTGGATAAAACCACTGGAAACAAGAACATACTAATACAAATGAAGTATAATAGCTCCCCTCACTAGTATCAAAGTTGGTCGAAAGTTCAAACATCAAACACTTTAACTGTTAGATTATTTCGAGAAATTGTAGTATTCACAAGATAACCAAAAAAGTGTGATACACCTTACAAAGTATGCTTGACCATCCTACAAACACATCCCATACTCCAGAGAATAAATAGCTTTCCTCTGAATATAATATATGTGAACCGTGCTTGTATGCTCAACAGTTATCCCTTGACTAAAACATGGTCTATCCCGAACTAGAACTTGGCATAATGGTGCCAAACCACCAAAAAAGCAGACAAACAGTCAAGGGGTAACACCCCAGATTGCAAATTAGATGCACCCAATTGTCCCACCATACACACGCATACTGCTCTCATGTTAAGGAACTAAGCAAGATCCCCAACCAAAGATGCAACTGAAATTATACTTCCAAAAGCCATCCCCTCTTATGGGACAAGAAGAATGAAATTTCTATTGAATTTCAACTGACAGTTACCCTCAGTGCTTACTTGTAAGGACACCCCGCTGAAGGGCGTCTTTTTCTTTTTCCCCTCTCTTTCGTAGGTCAAAAGAAAACATGCATACTCATTTAGGGCAAAGCATATTGAAACTCTAATGAAAATATGTACGAAAGAAACAAAGATTGGAGGAAAACAACTTACGATATCATCAATAACTCATTATCAAAGGAAAAGCAGAAAAAGGAGGAAAGAAACAAAGATTGGAAAGTAAAGCTTGCATCATTGTCAAGGACAATGTAAAGTTTGCATCATTATCAAGAATAAATTTCTTTTCGTTTCACTGATAAAGAGAATAAAAATTTCAAGGATTAAAAGAATAAAAATTTCATGGATTAAAAGAATAAAAAAACACAAATACATTAGTTTTAATTCTCTCAAACCTAAAAATGCAGAAACAAAGATCGATGGAAAGTATATAACTTACAATATCAGCATAAGAAGACCCGAAACAAGGGCCTTGTTCATCTGCACTATTGTAACCTTCACCTTCTCCAAATGACCTAGGCGATGATGGCAATGAACCAGAAGATGAGGTCCTCGAAGACACTACAGGCCAACCAGACCTTCTGGATGGACCACTTCGCACCACAGCTGAACCACCTGAAACTATTCTTCTGTTGCTCGAGTTTGCAGAGGGTTTTGGAGGAGGAACAGGAGGTGGTGGCGGATAAGAGCTTCCTGATGCAAATTGAGAAGACCCATTACTCAAAACATCACTCTCATCACCTTCAAATTTCCCAGTTCCCCTAAATGAAGTCGAATCTATCGATACAGGAACCGAACCTGTAACTTCTGAATCACCCAATTCCTCAATTTCTTCTTTTTCTTGATTGGCAACAATGGATTGTGATGATTTTGGCCTAGCTTCACTCCATTCCTCGATACCGGTCTCAATGGATGGTTCTTGATTGGCCTCCCCTTCATTGCTCTGCAACTTCTCATCTCCAAATATAGAGCTCTCATGGACTAACCCATCAAAAGAGGTAATAATATCGTTTGTATCTTTATCAGAGTCATCTTCTCTGGTAACATGTGAAGAGGGCGAAGAGACAGTAGAGACTGAATTAGGGGCAGAATTGGAAGAAGAGCCACTGGCTCGGTTCGAAGAGGAAGAACCAGAGCCACGCTGAACCAGAATACGAGTCATCTCCGAACCCTAACCCTAGCTTTCACTTTTCAAACCAGGAAATCAACATGAACAAGAACCACAATATCATGGATCCAAAGACCAAAAGAACTAAGAGAAACCTTTATCTCTTGCCCTCACCTTTGGTGCACTGATACCAATACCACTGGTAATCGATTTCTTGAAGCCCGAAGACTCGAACTCAACAAAGACCAGTCTCTGCATCCCCTAAAACTTATCACCACACCCACGACCTTCACTAGTCTAGCTTTTTTCCTTCTCTCCTCCTCTCTCTCTCTCTCTCTCTCTCTCTCTCTACTACTACTACTACTACTTACTAACTAAACTAAACTAAACTAAGTAACGTAACGTAACTACTACTACTAACCTACGTACTACGTAATAACTTAACTACTACTAACTAA